TGCAATACCATTATGAGGCTATGAGTTTTAAGATGATAAACATTTGATTCCTTGAAATCAGGAATGCAAAAAGTGTGGCCTACAGCTCAAACCACCTTTTTTGTGGTTGCCAAAGACCAAGTATAGATGGAGTAAAAAAAAGATGACACCAACCATTCTAAGGAAATGTTAAAGGTTTTGTCAGGTCTACGATGTTCAAGCCCCAATACCCTCGTCTCGGAAGGCACTCCCCCTGCCCCTGCCGCACCAGTGAGAATGGCAGAATCAAAGTAAGCTAAGAAAACATTCCCTAAAATCAAAGTATACCATAGCATTTACTATATTAATAAAGCAGTCCTCTAGTTGATATATATCTTGATTGCTGCAGATTCTGACAGGTGTCTTAATGGTAAAATTGTAGCCTTAATCATTACAATATGATAAGAACTATCTTGAACTCATAAAAAAATCAATCAAAGACATTTTTTTGGAAAACTTTTATAGTATTAATTTGCATAGAAAACAACATGTTTTTTGCGCCCTCTGCCTGTGTAAACATCTGCAGAATTGAGCCCAGATAAAATGCCCCACATCGAGGACAAGGTCCTGTGCTTAATAGAATTAACTCTGGATCCAAGCTTTCTATATATGTGGGCGTGCTCAATCATAGCATGTGCTAAAAAAGAAAGGAAAGAGGAACCAAACTTGAGCAGTGGGCCTCCTCACATCTTATATTTTTATAGAAATACAGAACTGAAGTAGAATTTAAATTTTGTCCTGTTTGAACCCTTAATACCTTCAGGTAGTTTTGACATTTGAAGAGCTTCTGCCAGTGTAGACTGCTGTAGTAATTGGACCAAAGATTTAGCTCATATAAATCAGTTTTATACATTTTACAGAGATAAACAAGGAGAGAGAGATGTCTTGCTGAGCAATTCACACAGTGAGGAAGCTAAGGTCACGATGGCCATACCATGTAATTGTGCATGACTAAAAGACTGGAAAAAATGAGACTGACCCCTCATACACCTCTGAATCTGGGTACTAGAGAAGGCCTCACATAACCACAGAGACGCAAAAAGCTGCTTTATGCTGAACCAGACGGTGACCCATCGAATTCTCTCCATACGCATTGACGGCAGCCACTTTCCAAGCTTTGCGGCAGAATCTGTTACCAACTCTGCCTGGAGATTGAACCTGAGAGCTGTTGCATGCAAAAATATCTGCTTGTACCATGAAGAGCAATCCTCCCACCCAGCATGTGGAAGCAGGGTGTGGGGTGACATCTGGTGGCATTTTGTGTCAGCTTGTATTACTGATTTCTTTGAGATTTTCTTCTGAATGTGTTTTTAATTAATTCAGCTTTAGTGGATTATTCACGCCCTATTTACAGCTTTCCTATCCATTCATTGTAAATTATTGGTTGCTTTAGAACTGTTGTAGCACTCAGATTAACCTGATGTAGTCTGTTACTTTGAGATCTGGTTCAGACAAGAAAATAAACTGCAGCTATTTGCATGCAGGCCTAGGGGCATCTGTGTTTGGGGCTTACCTCTGTGCAGCTTACCATGTTGGTTGTTGGATGGCTATTTAAGTGATGAATCCTGCTATGTTACAGGTCTCTCCTTACCTCAGAAACAATCCCCCCCACTCCTCATTTCTCTGCTCCAAACTGTTCCCTTGATGCATTCAAAATACATGTACTATATAAACTTTTTTTTCTCTGCAAGCAGTCTCCAGCTGGCAGAAATATCTGATCTGAAGTAACCCAATACTTACATCTAGCTGTTCCAAACTGCATTCAAAGTTAATGGATGGTAACTAGCAGCAGTTCACAAACAAGTAAAGCCCCCTTAAAAGTACAAGGAAGGAATACAGAGTTGGCTTATTTGATCAAGGTCAAAATAGATATGAAATTATTTCTGGTAGCCCTTAATGGACTTCTGCTGACTAGGAATGAGTTTGGCTTTAAGATTTTATGTCTAGTTAAGAGATGAGATATGGGAAGAAGAGAGCACTTGTATTTTAAGAGATGGAGATAAGTTACCAGAAATGTTTGTACTTGTTGTGATGAAGGGGAGAATCACTTCTTTATGTTTTTTCCCCTTTTTCTTCTTTTCTTCTTTTTATTTCTTTTTCCTTTTTTCTCTTATCTGCACTATTTTTCTTTTTCATTCTTATATTTTTTGTATTTTGTACTTGTTTTTCTAATTGTAATCTTTAATATAATTATTTTAAAAAACCAAGTAAAGCCCCTACCAAGTTTCTCCCACAAAGACAAGATTTTTACTCCCTTCCTCAAAAACAAATTTGGAATTTGTATGCTCTATGCCTAGTTTTAACATAAGTACATATTACCATTTCCCAATTTGAGAGTGTGCTTTGCATTTAAAAACACAACTTTGTTTTAAGTTAGCAAACTTTTACCTTAAAAAGCATTTCATTGTTTTGAAATTTCAGAGGAGTTTTTCTGGGTTCTCCTAAAATCCAATTCTAGTGAGAAAGGAGAAGTCTAAGGGAGGGAAGGGAGGAATGTACTATATTAATGTATAGACGGAGTCCGGATGGGTGTACACCCATGCTCCCTTTTTTCTGTCTCTTGGGTGGGCTACTTGAAATGTATCTTTTTCTTTTTCATGCACTGTGGACTCAGAACAGCCCACATCCTGGATCTCCAGAAATTTATATCAAGCTAAAGTTTCAAAGTCTGACTTTCAGACTTCCAAGATGAGGGTCATTTTAGGGTTGCATGACGCTGTAAGCCACAAATCTCACTTCAAACACATGGGATGGGTTTGGGGAAATGACAACACATTCCACTTACTTGAGCAGTGCAATTTGCTTGTTGCACAATACAGTTTTATCAAGCTTCTTATTTTCCTACTATTGTCTTTTTCCCCTTATTCTCTTTTGCCACGCAAAACAAATTCTCTCAAGTTTAGGCTGAGGTGCAGTACTATACAAATGGGTATGTGCTTTGTTTCATGATGGTGATGGATTTCTAGAATGCTTTCAAAGAGCGAGGACAGCATTCAAAAGAGAAATACAGGTGCTTCTGGGTCTCTTTAAAAGAAATCCTACTTCTTAACTGTGGGTTGGTACAAACTGAGGTTGCTAAAGGCACTTTTTACACGTTTGTATTGTTAGGCACTAGCCTTTGTTTATTCATTTACCCAAGTTTAGAGAACCAAATTAACTTG